CGCCGGCCCGAGTGTCAGGCGCGCCGAGTGCGCGGGGCTGCGCCGACGCCCCGCTCCGCAAAATGAAAGCGAGGCGAAGCGAGGGCCCAGCCGGCGGGCGCGCGCGGGAGCCGTCCCGAGAAGGACGTCCCCGGGTTTGAGGGCTGGAATGTTGGGGTCCTGGTGAAAGGGCTGAGACGGCCCGGAAAAGCAGACGGAATTCGAACAGTCCTGGCAACGGGGCGGAGGCGGCCTGAGAGCAGATTCAAGCGAGGAGATGTCTTACACCGCTTGTCAATGCTAATAGCAAAACGAAAATACGGAAAGAACTTCAGTGGCAGCAAAATGGTAGGGAGGTTTTTTGGTCCGGATAATCCGCAAGGCTGGCGCTTGCACTTCGAGAGTAAAAGGCGACATCAATAGTTCACCAGTTCTCAAATTTAAAAAAACAAAGACCAAAAAAAAAAAAAAAAACTCCGTTTTGTATTTCAGGTAGTTCAAAAGTCTGGAATGGGAGGAATTGGGGCGTGCCCAAAGGTGAGAACTTTGGTCTGCCCTTTGACACATCTGTATTTGACTGTCGGGGCATCAACCGTGAAAACCTGGTAGGATTTTGCCTCCTCAAATGTGGGCAGATAGTTTGTTCATATATCTGCCTTGTAAGTGCTTATAAAGTATTTGTTAAATAAACGTCTACCATTAAGAAGGAGCGGAGGAGGATACTGAAAATGCCTCACCCTGTGGTCATAATTATTCAGTCTTCATCTGGGGCTAAGGTTTGTGTCTCACTCTTGTCAAACTCGCTGGCAATGCTGTTCTACTGGTAAAATGAAAGTGGATTTAAGATGAGTATCCAATTATTTCAAAACACTGTAAAGTTATTTTTAATAATTTTCCAACCTCCTGCTTTACTTTGCCCATGTCTACAGTGAAATAGTTGATGAATTTGGGAGGTTCGCTGCAGGAAACTTCACTTCTAGCCAAGCCATGGCTAAAATGCCATAGCTTTGCCAGGCTAGTGGCACATGCCTGTAATTCCAGTACTCGGGAAGCCGAGGCAAGAGGATCGATTCGAGTTTGAGACCAGCCTAGGAGCTCAAGGCCAACCTGAACTGCATAGTGAGACTCTGTCTCAAAAAGACAAAAAAAAAAAGGCCATAGCTTTGAATTACTGCTCAGGTGTAAACGCAGAACTGTGGAATGCTTCAGGGCGAACCATCTGCCCATCAAATCCTAAGAACCTTTATGCCACATACATAGTCTGTACATATTATTTGGGTTGAGTTAAAACTCTGAAGTTACTTTACTTTTGGCCTGAAAGCCCTTGCATGAGCCTACAACTCCTACCAGCGTGAGGAGCGTTCCAGTGTAAATTGGTATTTCAATATGGAAAGCCTTCCCATTTGTTTGTGTCTTTGGCACTACGAATAAAAGTTTTCTAGTCAAAGCCTTCACCTGAACTATCAGCACGTGAGTCTGTCGGACTGCCTTACCTGTATAGTGTATCATACATTTCCCCCCCCTCCCTAAAAGGAAACGCTCACCTCCCCAAAAGCCAGGCCCAAGTTTCCTATCTCCATCTAATTTGTGTCTTTCCCTGACATCAGCATGTTGACAGAATTAAAGACCAACATTTTTGTAATTTTCCTTGTCTTCAGCATACTTTGAAACCATAGCTGAAAAAAACACATCAAACACATAGTGGATTTAGACCAGGAAGACTCCTGCATAACTTAAAGGAACTCAAGCATAGAGAATGTAATTTCATGTTGAAATCAAGATTATCGATCTACGAACTCTTACCTATATGCAAAGAAAAAAGTTTTTTAAAACAAACACGGGATGGAATGTTCTATCAGGAAAACACTCAGTCCACCCAATTGTAACTTCTTGGCATCTTGCTACAGTATAGATTAAATGATAATTTAAGGGAGAACGATCAGACCAGTGTGGGTGTCGCTGGATTTGGCATTTCTTCGGTTATTCTTGAACACTGCTTAGGATGTTTTATGCTGAAATCTCAGGTCCTCAGTTTGCTCTGTTTTTTGTTTTTTCAGTAGTGGGGGTTGAACTCGACTTTCATACTTAGCCCTTTTTTGGTTTTTGCACAGGGTCTTCCTAAGTCACTAAATTGCCCGTGTTGGGCTCAAAACCTGCAGTCCCAGGTCTCAGCTTCCCAGAGTTCTGGGATTCCAGACCTGGTGTGAAATGCTCATTCTTGGGACTGTCAAACACTGCTTTTGCTATTCGTTGAATCTTACTAGTGTTAAATAAAACTTCAAATCTAGGTAATCCTTATCAATGACATTTTTATTGAACATTAAAGTCTGGAAATACAGTGTAAAGGCAGACGATAATGCCCGTTCATAGTTAGAAACTCAACAGTTTAAGAAAGTTTATGTGATTGCCAGACCTGGTGGCATCCACCTGTAATCCCAGCATTGTGGGACACTGAGGCAGGAGGAACCCAAGTGCAAAGCCCAGCCTAGACAATTCAGCAATTTAGTGAGACCCTGTCTCAACAAATGAGGGCTGAGAATGTAGTTTAATGTGAAAGTCCTGGGTTCAACTCCCAGTATCTCAAAATGAGAAAAAAAAACTTATGTGATTGCTTAAATTCAAAATAATCCACATGAGTTAATATACTACATTTTGGGCATTCTGAAAGCATACTTTTTTTCTTTGTAATGCAATTATTGGAGCTTGCACGCAGGATCTCATACATGCTGGGCAAGCTCTCTAGCACTGAGTTACCTCCCTAGCTCCTTTATCAAGACAAGATCTTGCTTAGTTTCCCATGCTTGCCTCAAACTCAGGATCCTCCTGCCTCAGCCTCCCAGGTAACCAGGATAATAGGTATGTGCCACAGTGCCAAAGCATATCTTTTCAGACATTTTTAAAAACAAGACAAAATATTCATGCAGTATTTCATTTAGGGAAGTAGTCTGCATTGGTTGTTTTTTCTTTCAGTCTTTGTATGTGTGTGTTGTATCTTTTTGTTTGTTTTGGATTGGGAGGGGGTTTTGGAAAGGGGCGAGCAATGGTCTTGCTGTGTAGTCCAAGCTGGCTTTGAACTCCTGCCTCACGATCCTCCTGACTCAGCTTCCTGAGTGTCGGGATGACAAATGTGTGCCACCACACCCAGTTGCTATGTCTACTTTCCCATCCCTATTTTGTTCTTAAGTAATATGTAAACAGGTTATTCCTGTGTAGTGCTTGCTTATAAGCATAAAACAGTACCATTAGTCGGCAGTGAAATGTACTTTTTCTCTTTTTACAGTGCTGAAAGTGGAACCCAAGGCCTCAGGCATGCTAAGCAAGTGCTGAACTGCAACCCCCAGCCAGCCGCCCTTGCAGTTTGTTAGTTAGATGCATATCCTTAGAATAACCGTTGCTGTTGGCCCATGAGGTTCTGAATTGCTTGTCCCACAGCCGGTCCCCTGGAAGTGGTGGCCCGCTCTTTCCATCATCGGTACAGAGATGAGAATTCACACAGGAAATGAGACATCAGGGGGTGGACTCCAAACAGGCCTGAGAGGACATTATTTTTCTATCCCTGGCTCTGGGATCTGAACTTTGAACTGCTTGTAATACTTCAAGTAGAAGAGAAAAAAAACGACTCCTGTCATGTGATAAAGGGCTTGGAATGTTCTCTCAGAGCCCCAGCACTTGAAGAAGGCAGGCGGAGAAGCACTGCGCCCCTTCAGTCAGCGGCTCCAGCTGAATGCCCAGCCAACAGCCAGCACCGACTACCTCCCAAGGGAGTGAGCCCACCTCAGCCTAGCTGAGCCTGCAGGAGACCCCAGCCCCAGGCAGCTCCGCGGGGTACAGAACAGCACAGGAGTCCAGTGACCCGCACAGAAATCCCGAGAGATAACATACTTCTCAGCCGAGCGTGGTGGCCCACACCTGAAATCCCAGCATTCCGGAGGCTGAGGCAGGAGGGTCCTGAATGTGAAGACATCTGGGGCTACACTGTGAGATGCCTTCTCCATAAAACTAAATAAATACTTCTAAGCAACTGAATTTTGGGTTGCTTATTGTATAGCAATAGATAGAAAACCAAGACATCAGGTGAAACACATTATCTTGTCTTGGGTTACTCTCCCGGATGATATTACTTTTCCTTGCTCGTAGTAAAATGTCACCATCTAGCCACAGCTGTGCTACGATTCGGAGTCCCTACAACTGAGCCTGTGTATTAAAGACGGTTCAGCCCTGTGTTCAGTCAGAGACCTTTAAGGAAAAGGGAATGTTGTGGGATCGCACTTGGGGTCGTAAAAGCCACAAGGAATTTTCCAAAGAGGTTCTCTCTTTGTTGCTGAAAGAGAAGACTTGGGTTGAATTTAAGTTTTTCTTGACAAACTTTCTAACAGATACTCCAAATGGTTTGCTCTTCTGAGAAACATGCATAAATTCAACTCCACTGAATATAGATTAAGACAGAATCAAGATAACATCATTACCTCTCTCACTGCAGATATTTATAATGCCTGGTGCTGGCAAAGGGGAAATACCCACTCTCATTTATTGCCGCCATCCATTGATAGGAGGTCTCTCAGCCATGCGTTGCGCTTTCACTCCTAGGGACATATTCCAGGCACATCGCTCAGAGGCAGAGTTAAATCCACACTCACCGCAGTATTATGTAATTTCAAAACTTAGAAACACTGGAAACATCACACACACAGAAGTCTAGCTTTTAAATTACAATTCTTCCATTCAGTGGGCGTTGGAAATAGTTAAGAAGTAGAAAATTGTCACGATATAAGTCAGAATATTCTACCTTTTTGAGGTATGTACCATGGATCACGTGGTACCGAATAGGACCAAAAAATATTTCAAACAAGAGGGCTGGGTGTGGTGGCGCATGCCTATAATCCCAGCACTTGGGAGGCTGAGGCAGGAGGATCATTGTAAGTTCGAGGCCAGCCTGGGCTACAAAGTGAGCTCAAGGCCAACCTGAACTGCATAGTGAGACCCTGTCTCAAAAAGACAAAAAAAGGAGGAAATTCACTTACTCATTCAAATCATTCCAAAAAACCTTTATTGAGCATTCTTTTTTTTTTTTTTTTTTTTTTTTTTTTGTCTTTTTGAGGCAGGGTCTCACTATAAAGTTCAGGTTGGCCTTGAACTCACTGTGTAGCTCAGGCTGGTCTCGAACTCATAATGATCCTCCTGCCTCAGCTTCCCAAGTGCTGGGATTACAGGAGTGCATCACCACGCCCAGCGAGCATTCCTATTTTTAAAAAAGCATTGCATTAAGTATTTAAGTTAAAAGTGGTAAATCCAGTCCCTGCCTTGAGCCCCGACAGTCTCATCACTGCAGTGGGTATACAATTAAGCCTATTAAGGCCCTAGAGAGACTTCCGAGACCAATGCCAGATCTCAGTGCTAAGGAGTAAGCGAGAAGAAAAATTCAGAGAAGCTTATGACAGAATATGAAATCTTCCCAGAACAGTTGTTTAACCTTAGGGAACTGAACCTAACTGGGACTCTGCCGTTACGTATACTGACAGACATAGGCCACCACCCCTACTTTGGTCATACCCTCTTTCTAGGTGCTCCTCATGTACAAGGAACCTGAGTCTAACTCTCGTCCTATGACAGTAACAAGTATTGTATTTGTTTAGAATGCCAGTAGAGTTTTTATTGCCCCTGCACATTGAGGGAGTGGCACTGAACCTGTGCTCACACAATAGGCTACGAAAAAGAAAGTACACTTCCGTCTATTGTGGAATTTTTGTATGAATGAACATTCATGTTAGCATAACCCAAGCCCCATGCTTAAGTTATAATTTTACATAAAATGGAGCACCTGGGAAATGGCACGTAAGTTACCACTGGAGCGTAACTAGAGAGGACGCTAACAAGGTGGGGTGGGCCCCGGCAGCCTGGCTGAGGCCTGAACGCTGCACTGAGGGGGCAACCAGCTGCCTTGGAAGGATTTCCAGCAGTACAGTGACAGCTGTCAGTAGCCTCTTCAAATCACTGGCAGCTGCCGATTCCCACCGCATACTTAGGTGAAGTCATCCAGTGCATAATGTTGACGGACTGCAGTGTTTCTATTACTTCATAATTGGAACACAGGCCCTCGGGATGTAGCTTGGTGGTAAAATACCTGCCTTGGGGTTGATCCCTAGTACTGGAGGTGGGGAGGAAGAGGGGGAGAAAGAGAAAATAAAGTATAAAGATGCAAAATTGTGTGGCATAATGAGATGATTAACATAGTCACTATAGGTCCTTTAAGGTTTTCCCTCAGAAGGCTGGGAAAATAAATATAAAATAAAAACATCTTCAATGACCTCCCCATAGATCACACAAACAACAATGTCTTCAGTAAGGAGCTAGGGAAGTGGATGCATATATATCGCGGAGCTGTGAGCAAATGCTTGAACTGAAATATACTGGGAAGACTGATGTCATTGTGTGCAGCGCACAGTCCAGGAAACTGGTATGGCGGAGTCCTGCTGGTCACACATGCAGCCAGCCTCAGACACAGAAAATGACATCTTGGAAGATGTCACTGCTGAGGTCAGTGTGTAGAACCATCAGAATTATCTGGAACTTTCCAGAAATCCCAGTGCCCAAGTCAATTACATCAGAATCTTGAACAGACAGCTATCAGGGTTTTTGTTGTGTTTTTATTGCTCTTTTTGGTTTTTTCAGGTACTGGGGATTGAACACAGGACCTTGCACTTGCCAGGCAGGTGCTTGTGCTGCTGAGCTATATCTCCAGCCCTTTGTCTTGTTTTTTGAGACACAGTCTAGCCATTTAGTCCCCACTAGACACAAACCCCAACTCCTCCTGCCTCAGCCTCCCAAGTGCTGTGATTGCAGGCATGCACAACCAGGAAATCAATATTTTATACAGCTTCCTACATAATTCTAATAGTAGGGGCCAAGATCTATGACCACTGGGTTAATCCACTTCATTTCACAAGACCCCTTTGATGACATATATAATAATGACTTTAGTTACTTTTTATGGTTGTGTGTGTGTGTGTGTGTGTGTGTGTGTGTGTTTTGTGTTCTGTTTGAGATCGAGGTCTCATTATGTTGCCCAGGCTGGCCTCAAACTTCCAGGCTTAGGCAATGCTACCTCAGCCTACTGAATACCTGGGAGCAGAAGTGTGTGTCACCACCCCTGGCTGAGCTTAACGTCAACTGAAATCTTGCATAAAGATCTTAGTGTCACTTGTTGAAATTAGTGGAAATAACCCACAATGTCCCTAAATGAGGACAACTTAGACTACCTAGATTTCTAGTCCAAAGGCAACAGTCTTCTAATCAGAAGAGAGAAGAATTGAGAGTTCTGCATAAATAACAAACAATTGCTAAGTTTCATTTTAAAGGCAATGCAAAAAAAAAAAAATGCTGTCAAATTAAAATAGTTTATTTCTAAGGCACAATAAACAAGAATTATCATTTAGACCAGGAGTGGTGACATACACCTCTAATCCCAGCAGTTGGGAGGCCGAGGCAGGAGGATTACCATGAGTTTAAACCCACCCTGTACCACATAGTGAGACCATGTCTCAAAAACAAAACAAAAAACAGTTATCGAAACCAGGTATGATGGCCCACACCTGTAAACCCAGTACTTGGGAGGCTGAGGCAGGGGGATCGTTGTGAGTTTGAGGTCAGCCTGGGCTACAAAGTGAGCTTAAGGCCAGCCTGAACTGCATAATGAGACCCTGTCTCAAAGAAACCCAAAAAAAAAAAAAATTATCATTTGGGAAAATCTACTTTAACTTCCAGAATCTAATGAAATTAATGGGAGTTCTGTGATCTGCAACAATAGTAGAAAAAGCTGTAGGGAAATTATTTTATGTTGTACAGTAAAATTAGAAAGTCTTTATTCTTCTACATGAAACTCCCTCCATGGGGCAGTTTGTCAAGCAGTTTATCAAGCAGTTCAATTTTATTTTTAAGCTTTTAGAAAGTAAAACGAGCTGGGTGTAATGGTTCATGCTTGTAATTCTAACACTTAGGGAGGCTGAGGCAGGAAGACCAACACAAGTTCAAGGCAAGCCTGAGCTACCTAGTAAATTCAAAGTCAGTCTGAACTATGTGTCAAGATCCTGTCTCAAAAAAAAGGTGTATTTTGCTTATATCATTTTAAGTAGTTGAGAAAAAACTAATACAGAAACTAACACATAGAATTCTGATCTATTTCTAGTTCCATGAGTCAAAATCATAGAAGCTTCAAAGGAAATAAAAATCATATTGAATCAAGGTCCTGGAAAATGAGCTAAGAAAACTTAAGAGGAAAAAGTTTAGTAAGCCACCCACAGACTATGTTACATATTTATTTCATTCTGCTTTTCTATTTTGTTCTTTACAGATGGACAAGAATTAAGAATATAATTTTCCTCTTTTTTTTTTGTCTTTTTGAGACAGGGTCTCACTACACAGTTCAGGCTGGTTTTGAGCTCACTTTGTAGCCCAGGCTGGCCTCAAACTCCCAATGATCCTCCTGCCTCAGCCTCCTGAGTGCTGGGATTACAAGCATGCACCACCAGGCCCGACTAATTTTCCTTTTTTTTCCCAATTCTTCTTCAGCCATTAGTAACCAAGGTTAATAAGGTAAGCAGAATAACTAGGAAATAGATTTTTTTTAAAGTTCCCAACTATTTGACTGCTAGGAAATCAAGAGGAATTCACTTACTTTATTAACTCAGAATTGTGCTCAGGTAAGGTAGGTAAATCTTAACAAGAGAATTACATGA